GAAGATTCAATTTTCGTCCATGTGAAACTGCCTGCTAACTAGCTGGACAGACTAATTGTAAATATATAATATGTTATATTTTGTTATTTTTAATTTTACTAATTTATATTTAGTACCCCAAATGTACAATGAGTACAGATAATAATTATAGGCAATACATACTTAAACCTTATACTATAGGTAAACAAAAAATAAATGATAATAATAATTGTGGCCTTTTATGAAGTATTCAATCAATAGTTTTTAATCTGCCGAATGATAGTCAAAAACAAGAATCAAAATTTGATATACAACTACAATGGTGTCAATTTTAACACACGCAACTATAAGCAATTAATTGACTAGAGCAATGATGAAACTAAAAATTAAGGATTTTTAATCGGGTTAAAAGCTGGTACTTTAAAATTGTATTCATTTTTTAAATTTATAATAAAAAATTGTTTTCGAAACTGCTTATGGAGCATCAATAACTTGTCAGTTAACTTTTAAACAAAGCTACATAATTTAATAAACACTAGAAGCTGAAGATCGTTGTATTTTTTCAAGTGTATAAACTAAATTAAAATTAATAAATAAATAAAAACAAAATTTATATTTTTTAGAATCAAAAGAATTTTGTTCTACTCAACCAGTACCAGTACTTACAATATATTATTTTGTACTGCAATCACTACTTAAAGGAGGTGTTTATATTGAAAACAATTGCACGAGCAGCAAATATTATTACGTATTTCAGGCATCCGTCAGAATTGGTGTCTGGTTGGACAGACAATAAATGAACAAGATCAAGTATGAACTGTATCACCACCACCTCAAATCGAGGGTCAAAGCACTTCAAAAATCAGCATCGAACATCGGTGAAAAGCTACGTAGCTATGTAATATAATAATTTATATTGTACCACAACCGTACCGAGACGATTGAAGTTTGTTGTTTTTGACCAATGTTCAATCATTTGACTTTGCTATTTCTGTGCTATTTCCGTGTCTGTAATTGACACTTTCATTTCGGTTCGCTCACCACCTAAGAATAAAATAATTCATGGTTAAACCCATAAACGAGAAGATAAATCTTTAATACACACGTACCCAACTCCAGTGCCACTTAAGTATTTCTGTTTCACTTAAATTGTTAAATGTGTTGTAACTATGTTTCGATGTTATCAGCACTACTTCAAAACAGTATTATTCATTTTAAACGGAATTAAGACAATTAGAAGTGTTAAACATGTTTGAATTTCAATGATTGTTTAAAAAATTCTGAAAATACACTCGAATTGTGTATTTTACTAGGAATATGAATAACGATCTTATTTTAACCATTTCTAGTCACAAATAATATCATATTTTATCAGTAATATTACTCATGGGGCTCAGAACTTAACGTGCTTAAAAAGTCTAATAATTTAGCACGAATCTTTTATTTCAATATATTTTTATAATTTATAATTTTTACTAAATATTTTTTAATGAAAATAGGGAATTGTAAATCAACTAGGGATTTTAAAAACAAGATACAATAATAAATAGTGAAAAGCCTTAGACCATCAGTGTGGTATAGGCAAGATATTTTAAAAATAAGTGGATAGTTCATGACAGATTTCGGACTCTGTTAATGGTGATAGTAATATTTGAAGTCATACATTTGGTTTGACCAATTTAATTCTTAGGGTATAAATTTGTTTTGACGAAAGCATGATTTTTACATAATGCCACATTACAATATTATACCTCATATAAACATAAAAAAATTTAATTTTTGATATTGATAATTTTAGTTTTATACTGTAATATTAAACCACATGTTTTGTACATAATACTAAATTGTGTACCTATACAAATAATCAAAAAATGAGTATAAAATATGTATATTGATATTTTAGCTATGTTAGAAATATGTTAATTTATCATTGAATTAAAATTTAACAAAACTCGTGCAGCGACCCATCTAAAGACACCTACTGTACAGAGAAGAGATTGTCAAGTTTTTTTTTTTTGTTATGGGCAATATCGCATGTATTCGTAAAAGTAAAAAAGTAACTACTAAGTATTTTTTGAATATTTAATCATACTATTAAACTTATTAAGGTATTTACTATTTTTATTATATGAGAAAGCTCATTTACTATTTTATATAAAACAACATGAATAATCAAACCAGAACTTGACAACATTTTGTTTTTTGTCATAGTGAGTTTAACATTTATTAAAAGAAAAAAATTATTGCACAATTCGAAAACACACAATATATAAATTTAATATAATAGAACATCAGTTAACTACCGAAATCTTTTAATTAAATATTATCTTCATTTCACGCAATCACTTCAAACTAACCAGATAAGACTATAAGTGTATGGAAAGTGATTTTTTATTCAATAATTTAATAGCATATTTTTCTTGATTATTCGATATAAAAATACTAGAGATCTTTTCATAAAATTTTCGGAGAAATGATGACTTATACTTGTATAATTCAATGATTTATCGATTATATAATTCGAGTACTCAAACGTACCTATATAAATGGTAAATATTTGAAATCGAAATTCATTCTACTGCTACAATTTAGTACAAGCAGTAACAGTGAGTTCTTAATTCAATTCTACTAAATAATAAGTTTAAAGCGACAAAGTTGCAACCATGGCTAGGGTTTTGATGTTATTGTCTGTGATATTCGTCAGCGTATATGTGACGGAACAAGCATACTTTTTGCAAAAAGATTTCATTGACAATATCAATGAACAAGCGACTACATGGAAGGTAAGTAATTATTAATTTATATTTTATTCGAAAAATGGCATGTAAAATTATAATTTTTTAATGAAAAAAAATACATACATAATGCTCATTAAAAATATCTATAAATCGCTCAAAACGTTACAAAATATATTTATTTATTAATAATATATAAAATATAGAATATAAAGTTTTTAAAATTGCAATTTAAACCTTTGATGAAATATCTAGTACTTTCAAGTACCCATAATCATTTTTGAATTACACATAAATTAAAAAAATCGTTCAATCACTTAAATTGAATTAAGAAATTTTTAAATAAAATAATACAATAGTTAGATGTGTACAGCTACATATTACATGCCTATATTTAGTTAAAATATTATATTCAATTTATGTAGGTACATTTAACTTTGTACTGTACAGTTATCAATAATTTTACATACTTATCATAACGTTTAACAAATAAGGCAGGTGTGAACTTTGACCCAAGTACACCAAAGGATCATTTCCTAAAACTTTTGGGATCAAAAGGAGTACAAACCCCAAACAAAAATAATATTAAAATGTACAAATCCGACGATGCAGCTTACGACAACTTGTTCGGCAGAATTCCAAGACACTTTGACGCTAGGAGAAAATGGAAAAAATGTCACACGATCGGAGCAGTTCGTGACCAAGGCAACTGTGGATCGTGTTGGGTACGTACAAATATCGATTGTTCTGTGTCAAGAGTTGGACATAAATTTCAAAAAAAAATTATTTTTGTAGGCAGTGGCCACGAGCTCGGCTTTTGCTGACCGTTTGTGTGTAGCGACCAATGCAGATTTCAATGAACTATTATCCGCCGAAGAAATCACTTTCTGCTGTCATTCATGTGGCTTTGGGTGTGATGGAGGTTATCCGATAAAAGCGTGGGAACGTTTTAGTAAACACGGTCTAGTAACCGGGGGAGACTACAAATCCGGAGAGGTATGCGATTTGTTCGGTACATAATATAATATTATTGGTTTTGGTTTAACCATGGACACGTCGATTTTAGGGTTGCGAACCATACAGAGTCCCACCTTGTCCTTATGACGAACAGGGTAATAACACTTGCGCCGGTAAACCAATGGAATCAAATCACAGATGCACAAGGATGTGCTACGGAAATCAGGACCTCGATTTCGACCAAGATCACAGATACAGTATGTTATATTTTGATAATGTGTGTAAATTTGTCTAATCTATTGTATTACGATTACAGCTCGTGACTACTACTACCTAACATACGGCAGCATCCAAAAGGACGTTATGACTTACGGTCCAATTGAAGCATCGTTCGACGTATACGACGATTTCCCCAGTTACAAGTCAGGTAAACGATACGAGCACTAACTATTCAATTCAATATTTTAATAATATGACATGTTTTGGTGTTTCGTTTTTAAAACCGTGTGAAACTATTTCTAACCGCAAATTTCACGTTTTAAAGGTGTTTATGTGAAATCGGAAAACGCTACATACTTGGGAGGACATGCCGCTAAATTGATCGGTTGGGGTGAAGAATACGGAGTTCCATACTGGTTGATGGTCAACTCATGGAACGTAGATTGGGGTGATAATGGTTTTTTCAAAATTCAACGAGGCACAAACGAATGTGGTATCGATAATTCGACAACTGCTGGTGTGCCAGTAACCAACTAACTGTATTATTTTAGTTAATTTAAAATGAAAAATTCCATCATGTCATATATAATGTCTAAATAAAATCTTTGTTTTAATTATCTCAACCGATATGTTCTTATTGATTTATTTTGTGGACATATTGAACTCTGTTTTTTTGAATTGTTGAAAATTAACTTCATAATAGTTTGTTCATTATTTCTGTGTGCACGATACAAGTCTGAGTATTTAATTCAGCTTATTCAAAAAAATAATTCCAAAAATAGTTGATTATTATTTTGGTCACACTGTACACGATAATGTATTATGTATTCATTGCAATTTGTTTATATTAATGATGAAACAATGTTATTAAAAATAATCTGTACACTAACAAATACCGATAAATCTGTTATTCGTCGTATTATTTTAGGATATTATCGAAGAAAATCTTATAAATGATCTATACTCTAAGAGAGCTTATTAGATTCTGACATACTACATAGTTATTTTAGAATAAAATATATTTATTACAGCTGAAATACTTAGAAAAATATAATTTTCGATTCAATGTAGTATACATCATTGAAGTATTTTTTATTTAAACAATTGTTTGATTAATTTTAATTGGTTATGTTTTTGATATAGTTAATAATTCCGCTAGATGCAAAGGAGATTCAATTTTCGTCCATGAGCGACTGCCTGTTCTCTGGCTGGGCATATTAGGTGTAGGTACCTGTATAATGCCTTATATTTTGTTATTTTTAATACCCCAAATGCGTAGTTTGTGCAGATAATTTATTGATATTCATTAGACAAATAAACCTTATACAACTGGTGAACAGAGAATGAATGATAATTTTATTTAGATAGTCAAAAACAAGAATCGAAGTTGGATTTACTATTTTTCGTAGGTCATCGCTCCTTTCGATACGCAATTAAGTGACAAGGGCAATGATGAAACCAAAAATTAAGGATTTTTAAGCGTGTTAAAAGCTGGTACTTTAAAATTATATTCATTTTTTCCATATATATTCGTACATTTGATTTAAAAAATTGTTTTTAAAAATACTTGTAGGGAATCAATAGCATGTAAATTAACATATAAAGAAGAATACATAATTTAATAAACACTAGAAAAGTAGAAAATGATGATTGTTTTATTGTATCATGTTTGTCAACTTAATTTTATAAATTGACAAAATTAAAAAAAAAAAACAAAATTGATATTTTTAAAATCATTTTACTATATTTATTACATATTATAAACCTAACCTAACCATACATCATTCTGTACTGTAATCGCCACTATTGTTGATATTTATACTGAGACCCCTCGCACGATGGTATACTATGTTTGTTGCCCCATTGGCAATCTCACATTTACACCAATAACTATTTACCTATATGTTATTTTTATGGCAGTAAGTAAAACATATAAGTGCCAATAAAACCAAAATAGTAAAAAAGACAATATTTGCAATTCGTATGAAGACTATAATATTATGTGTGTAACTAAGATTTAGTATTTATGCAAATTTTAGTTTTATTATTAACTATTATAATTTTATAGTTTTAATTCAAAATAAACTTTAATAATGGTGGGGAGATCACGAACGTGTCTCTAAAGTTGAGTAGTCACAGAGATGACTGTAAAATAAAGTTTAAAATAAACCATGGTGTATAAGATCGTCTCTATACCCCTTGTCATGAAAAATAAAATTTTAAGGATAAAATAAATGTAATATGTATTTTATTACATATGCATTAAGGAGTATGAAGTTGAACATATGTTTATTTATAGTATAAAATAAAATTCGCACTAACTAAGTTATTAATTATTCATTAAATACTCAATTTCTCAAGTATATTTGTACAGTCATAACACTAAATAAATAATAATATGACTAAAACAATTGTTGACAGTGATAATGATCAATATATAATCTTTTTATTATAATTGTTTACGGTGCTTATGTATGTAAGTGTTTTAAGGATTCCTACAGTATGTGTCATTAAACAACAATGACGGTTTTTTCCCAAAAATCTTGTCATCAAGCATTTTAATTCGATATTTTGATATGGAATACTTAATAATAATAATCGATATTGAAACAGAGTGTGCCATTGTCGTTAACTATCTCCATTGTAAGTGCAGCAATATTCAACTTGAACGGTTTTATTTTTGACCCTATAACAGCGATGATTATGTATTTGACAGAATCTCTCAAGTGCGAAAGCAGTCATTTTGATAGTAAACAAAAAAAAGAAGAACATTTGCCTTCTCAAAAAGTATTAACGCGTAAAAATGTATTAATTCGATAAAAAACGATGTTATCGTTATAGTAGATACTGTAATTAACTATGGAGTATTGAAGTCCATAGTTTACCTTGCCATAGAACAGTGTGAATATTTACAAGATAATAATAAATAATATTTGAAAATGAATCTAAGTGTTTTTTCAATGCCATAGCATATAGTGTTACTTATTATATACTCAATACTGAACAACCTCAAGTCAATCATGAATACTGTTTTGGAATTACAAGAAAATAACTAACTACACCGTTATATTCTTCGTCTAAATAAATGATACTATCCAAATGTTTGTATAGATTTGTATAGATCATAATTTGTGCGTGTTGCATATACCTACATAATTTAAAATTTTTGGTTTTGGTATAAAATACTTATGACTCATAAGTAAAGTCTAAAGACCCGATTTAATTTCATTGAAAACACACAGAAATTGCATATTAAAATTGTATAATCGCACCGACAAATACGTAAGAATTGCATAGTAAATTACGCTATAAAAATTAAAGTTATATAAAAAATTAGATAAATGATCCTTTTTTAAATTAAAATTGATAATTAGAATTTATCTTCCATTGCTTAAAATATGTTTGTACAAAGAAAAACAACGTTCTTCGTCTACATTAGTCTTATTGGTACATACTATTAAAACAACTGAACAGAATATACCCTGCAGTTCTCAAAGTGAATATGGGTAAGTATAGTGTGGGGCGACCGGTTTTCGTGTTGCACTCAAATCCCACCTATGTCACTTAACCGTTCAACTCGTCAATAATTTTATAATATTATTATTGTATAACAGCCGGATATCTAATAACAGTTTCACAGAGCATGGATTTTAGAGCCGTAGCCAGAGGGATGGTCTGCCATCTCCGAAAATTTTTTTTTATGATGTGTCACAGGTGTCAAGGGTGATGGGTATTTTAGTTCTACAAAAAACCTCATAAAAAAAAATTCTGGCTATTTGACACTGGTTAACAATATGTCAGTATTGCTGTGCCTTTAATCGGTTTAAATATAATTCAGTGAATGCATGCATTACCATGTTTTAAATCAACTCTTATAGTACCCATGCCTGCATAAGATTATTAATAGAATAGATCATTTAAAAAAAACTTAGACCTGTAATACAAAGCTGATATGTAAATCCCAGGATTTTTATTCGTATAAAACAGTTTAAAAAAAATTAAGCAAATTTGAATTGCAAACAGAACACAAAAACGAAGTACAGTCATAAAAGTATAAAATTTAAAAAAAAACGTTTGACTTGATAAATACAATTATTTTTTTTATTATTTCTAGAAAATATTTATATTACAGTTATTTAGAGATATCGAATCATCAGTTAAATTGTTCATAATATACTATATTATACCGGCATACCACATTAAAAGCGGCCTGTGTGTTCCGACAACAATACAAAAATCGGCGTCACGAATTCATGATTTCAAAAACAAAATGTTTTTATTTCAAAAACTGGTATTTCTTAAAAATTAATTAATTAAATTTGTTTGTTATCCTTCATGATTTCGATGGATACTAAATTCCTCCTGTTTATACATAGTTAAAATTAACATACCACTACTCAATCGACCAAAAAAATTGTAGAAATGTATTATTTAAAAAAATTGACTGAGTCATTTAAAAGAATGTTACAGATTACTTACCACTGTGGCAGAGACCCAAAAAATCCAAATGATAATGCAGTAAAATGTACTTAGGATCAACTCATTGCAATTTTGGTTATTTGGCTATGGAAGGATTCAGTAATGTATATTGTATATACTATATGTAAATAAAATATGTAATAAAAATAGTTTATTCAATATTTCCGTGTGCACGATACAAGTCTGAATTTATTATTAATTCAACTTATTCAAACTAATAATTCCAATAATACGTATAATTGATTATTATTTTTTTTACACTGTCCTCAATGGTGTATAGTGTATTGATTACTAATGATTTATATATATATATATAATATTTATATATTAATAAAGAAACAATATAATAAAAAATAATCTGTACACTAACGAATACCAAATACACAACAAACTTAAGTCACCCGCGGTACAAGTACCATATGTGTATAGGTGTGCAATTTTGCACGTTTATTTTAAATAATAACTAATTTTTCACGCAACTTTCTTAAAATTGTAGTAATACTTGGTATTTATTTTAGGTTTTTGGTTGCCCTTTTTTAATGGGGCCGAGAAAATTTAAGCATGCATCAAATTGATTTTTAGAATACTTCCTACCGAGGAGGCTGTAGGCTGAGTTACAGTTTTAGCCGCTCGTCGACATGTAGACAATCAAAATAATTGATAAAATTAAAATTAAACATATTATTCATAAAAAATGTGCACCTAGCAGGGTCCGCAATGCACAAAGGTGTTTTACTTTACAAATTATAAATTACAGCTCACTTTATCACAAGCGAGTCTCATATAGAGTTGGCATTTTTAAAGGGCAAAGAAGTGCAAGGCATCAGCTGCAAAAGATATAATAATGATGTAATGGATCTTTGATTCGACACGACACAACGACAGTTAATTTGTCTACTGACGATCGTCAACGATATGCGATAAACGTTTTTAACTATACAAATTATAATTATAACTATAGAATCATTTTTTAATAACAATATGTGTATAGAATCATTAGAATCACTTGTAAATATTACTAATATTCTTTTTTTTTTAAAAAGATCTTATAAAATTAGACCTCTGAGGGGGTACAAGGGGGTTTTCTTATAAAGCTATACAATATACGGGCAACGCCTTGACGGAACAGCTAGTAAAATATATT